TCTCTCTCTCCCTCCCCCTCTCCCTCTCTCTCTCTCTCTGCTTTTACTCCAAGTTTTCAGGTTCTTTCCTTGTGCATATGCAAGTGTTTTGTTTTTAGGGCTCATGGAAAAGACACAAGTAGGTGAGTGTAAACAAAAAACTCTGCTTAGAACGGCAGCAGCATTGATCCGTTAATATCGCAAAAAAGGCATACCTAGCAAAACTACTTCTTCCTCTTTTCAGAAATAGGAGTGTACTTTTTATTGGAAGGACTTTCGGTTTTTTTTTCTTTTATTAATTCTTTTCCTCCACTTGTTACCCCCTTCTATAATGGCTGTTCTCTTTAGCAAAACAGACAAGCGAAAGTTATAGAAAACACTCACACATTATATAAGCTCATGCAAATTTTAAAAAAATACTTGTAAGAGCTTAATTAAATAAATTTGAAATCAAGCCAAAACCAGGTGCATTTAATACAAAGTATGTCTATTCTTTAAAATTATTATTATTATTACATGTACATAATTTTAATTGCATTCCAAGAAATCTCGTAAACTGACTTTTCTTGCCAATCTTTCTTCGTCACTGTTATGATACAATAATGCAAAATCTTTTGGTCATAATAAGAAACACCAACAGGCAAAGTAGTCAGTTGCTCTTGTGATCATTTCATATGTATTTCACATGAGACGCATGTTATTGCCGGCAGGTCGTTGTGCTGCAATAACCTTAAAATAAATTTGAAACCCCCCTTGATGTGTAGCAATGAGCAAACAGCGTGCGCTAGACTCTGTTCTGGTACCAGGGCATGGATACGGACTTGGCCAACAAGCAGGGGGGTAGGGCTGGAATCCAAGTGGTGCCCCATTGTTTCTATTTCTGCATACATGTGTGTAAGTATAAAAGTCTACATTCCTCCCCGATCAGTATCCTGTTGCTAGAACAGGCTCCCCTCTATCGAAATGACCAAGGATCTTTCAGGAAAGCCATTTTTTTTAGTTCAACAACCCAAAAGACGACTATAGAACCTTGGAAAACACTCAAACATCACGAAATCAACAGCAAACAGTCAAGCTGGCCACTTCAGTGATAATGGTAGATGTTATTCGAAATCTCGGGTAGATCGCGTCTTGTCGAGTGTATCATGACAATGTCAGTTTATGAAGTGACCTACCCGTGAGTGGTTTTCATTCAGCACAGAGACAGACGTTATCATTGTTACCATTCACATTACGGACGCTAAAAGACACCCAGGGCACAAGATAGGCTACATTGTATATCTACCTGTATAAAGTGCAGAGCACACGATAAGTCAATTACATGACCTTACGGGAAAATCATCATCATCATCATCATCATCATCATCATCATCATCATCATCATCATCTGCAGCAGCAGCAGCAGCAGCAGCAGAACCAGCAGCAGCAGAACCAGCAGCAGCAGCAGCAGCAGCAGCAGCAGAAGCAATAAAGAAGCACCAACAGAAGAGGACACAGTATCAAGGTGGCACATATTCGTCCAATGACGACAATGATGATCATTTTGAGAACATTAGAATATTCTTCAAAAAGAAATGTGAGTCGTGCATACTAACATGCTTAGAAGACTACAAGTACAGACAAATAGAAAAAGAAGTAAATTCGCTTGAAACAGTATTAAACAGCATATCGATATGACTAGACTAAACTTCACAAAACACAAATCATACTCACACACAAAATTTGACACAAAAGAATCTTTATCCAACTTTGCACTACCAGCACGTCTTGTGTCAACTCAAAAGGCTTACTTACCCTCTCAAACTTGACAGGTTTACCCTTTTATCAATATTCTCTAACAAAATTAATGTGGACTGAAATCTTTATACTTATACTGAAACGGAAAATAAAAACCCATTTATCACTTTTATAACCCTACCAGAGAAAGTGATCATAATTACATAACCAAAAACATTTTTTTTAAACACTCGCCATAAAGTGGTTTAACAAACATCTAACTACATAATGTACGTAATACAATATGTAATGTACCGTAGGCCTACCTAGAATACTGCCATTGCCGTAGCACACTGGCGAGGAATATGGGAATGTTATTGCTTCAGTACCAGTCTTCATCATCTACAGACACAGCATCCAATAGAACGAAAGAAAGGTCCAAACATTAATGTATTTTAAAAATTCATCTATTTATCCATCCACGGGAGTTATTTTTTTTCTCCCAGCGTTCTTTTGCTACACTGGGTATCAAATCCGCGGCTCGTTCATTATTTATTGTTACATTCTTTATCCTACTCCTCTCTCTCTCTATCTCTCTCTCTCTCTCTCTCTCTCTCTCTCTCTCTCTCTCTCTCTCTCTCTCTCTCTCATTATTTTGTACTCCCTCTTTCATCTTCTCGCTAAGAAGTCAAACATAACTGGTTCTATACGAGCTTCCCGTTCGAGGTTAAATGTCACACCGACGTTGTAAAGGGGCTAAAACGAAAATTAATCAGAAATTCCTCGTTCGTGATCACAGGGACATCAATCCTACCTTATATGGCTAACTGTGTTGTCTGATTGTCTCCCATTTGGCACACATAATTTTAGACACATGGCAGCAGGAATATTGATTTGTATTATCCAACAAACAATCCTCAAAATTGAGTAAATTATAGTTTTGTCCTTTCCTTAAATTTAAGTGGGAACAAACTAAAAAAGGTCGCCGTATTAAAGGCATTATATCATTACAGGATATGTATAGGCCGCCAGCCAAGGCGAATCACCGGGGCCACTAGATCTACTAGCAAATTACATCGTATACTATTATTTATTGACAGCAAGTCGAGACATACAAAGACTAGCACGGGGCCCCTGGGCAACTATCCAGCGTACTTCGGCAGAAAGACGGTCCAGTTTTGGACTAGAGTGGGTCGTGTTTTGAACATAATGAATATTATTATTTGAGGAGTTCAGGAGGATGCGTCATTGTAATTTCCCGACACTGTTCGTGTGTGTGTGTACGTGTGTGTGTGTGTGTGTGTGTGTGTGTGTGTGTGTGTGTGTGTGTGTGTGTGTGTGTGTGTGTGTGTGTGTGTGTGTGTGTGTGTGTGTGTGTGCAGAGAAGGGGCGGGGAGGGGGGGGGGCTAGTAAATGACTAAAAGCCGCACGAACAACATTGCAGTATTAGTAAATGTGCTGAACGTCAAAGTTTTGATTAGTACATGCAGTCAAAGTGACTTCTTTGGAAACGAGAGCAACATATAGTCAAATACAGGACTTGTACTCTGATTCGTTGAAATTATACCCTCTTCCCGATGCCCCTTTCCTATGTAAGACACTAGCAAAACTTTAAATTACCATTCACCTCTTCTCATTAACACTAGAGAATTTAGGGAATAGTATAAAATGGGAACGAGAATTTGTGCACATAGTTGAATCAAACAGCATTAGTGACAATAGGGTTAAAACACTAAGAAAATGCAAGATCATTATTTGGTTACAAATGCAATTTTGCAGGTTACGAATTTGAACACAAGATAACACAACCCAAAATCAAACAATTCTTGCAGACATCATTTGCTTTTTCAGTCCAGCTTGCAGACAAAATAGCCAGACTTTGAAGACGATATCAAAATTTAATTCCTCCTCGGGTTATAAAAGTAAAAGCCTATGTAGCTGGAGCGTACCCATATTCCAACACATGAAGCAGAGCAAATGATATTTGATCACTTCCTTAATAGGAGAAGGGTCTGGCACAGGGAGCTTGAACAGTATACACCAGCGCTTGCCAACCTTTTTATTGCCAGTGTCCGTAAGGTGCCACCGTTATTATCGCCCACTTACATGTATTTTTCCAACTGTGGACATTGACCTGTCACTACAGAAGTGACCCCCCACCGCCCACCAAAATTACCGAATCGCTCGGTTTCGCCCGGGTTGGCAAACACTGGTATAGACTATGACTTAATAGCATTATCACAAGTCCAGCATGACTATAATGATCTCCCTTATATATATACTAATGCTTGGTCCCTACGCTCGGCGTACTGTGAGGGGGTACCCCGGGTCAGTGTCCTCCAGTTTACGATCATCGTCATCATCGCCAAAGTCGTCGTCATCTCCACATACAGCATCCAAGTCAAATTTGCATTTCATAGCATCCCGAATATCTGTGTACGCCAGCCAGATGAAAGGAAAGACGGCAGCTTTACTGATTCTCAGCCACATGGTGAGTGTCAGGCCTTCGGCCAGGCGTGTGCAGTCGGGACTGTTGCATTCCATCCTCATCATCAACACCCTCACGATGCAGTACGGCGCCTCGCAGAAGATGGAGAAAAGGGTAACGATTGTGGTGACGGTGCTGGACTCCCCGCGCGGTGTGAGCGGTCGGTAGAAACATCGCTTTGGACGTAGACAGTCGAGGAGTCCCGTGAATGGAGCGAAGATGAACACGCCGAAAGAAGCGGGGATGAACGCGAGCAGTTGGCAGGCGAGAAAAAAAGAGTCGTCTACTTTGAACAAGCAAGAGTCTGACTTGGTTGACTTTGCGAGGAGGCCGCTGAGGAATGTGGGCAAGAGAATGATGAGGGAGAAGACCCACGGAACCAACATGAGTATGACTGTTCCGATAGTTCTGGCTAATGGTAGAATGTTCTTCTGCTTTTTCTCTGTGTAGACGTAGACAAATCGCTCGAGGACCAGGCAGAAAACGGCGAACAGTGACAAGGAGCTCTGGAAGTAGTCAGAGATGAACATCCAACCCTGAAAGAGAGAAAGAGAGGGAGAGAGAGAGGAGTCAAAATTGTAGATATTTTGCAAAAATAGCGTCATACACAAAAGTACTTACCATAAAGTAAGCCTATAGAGAAAACAAATACTAGTAAAAGCAAAGAAACAAAATAGTACAGACATGAACACACACACACACAAACGCGCGCGCGCGCACACACACGCACGCACACACACACACACACACACATACACACACACAAACGGGCGCATGCACATACAAACACATACACACATACATACACACACAAATTCACACACGTACACACACAGACAGGGAGAAAGAGAGAGGGAGAGAGAGAGAGGGGAGGCGATGGAGAGAG